ATTTGTTCTTCCTCTCTCTCTTTCTTTGAAGTTCTGCGTTTTGTAAAGAAACCGTTGAAATGAACTTTTGACTTTGGATAAGCTTTTTGACATTTTCTAAGAAATAAAACCTTTAGTCCAATTATATTTGTTTTTATTAAATTAATTTCCTTCCCAGACCACCGGACAGGGTAAGAATTGAACTTTTCCAAAACATGTCTCCTCGTTTAAACTCCATACATACATATTGGCCATGTCAAAAGCTTTCAAAATTAACTCATGAGTTAAAAATCAGCGTTTTTAGTTAACGTTAGAATGTAACTAAATGTAACTGAATTTAATGTAAATAAGTCGATGTAAACTTCTCTCTCACCCGAAAGTAAATCGATGTGGTCAAAATTGCCTTTAAAAGCAATTTCGGCAAATAATCGGTGTTTAGTCTGACGCATGTTTTACCTTCTCCGTTTCAAAAATTTGCGAACTTTTTGAGAAAAACATCATCCAATGGAACAAATTTTCCTATCGTACGACATTTTGACTTTAAATTTTATGCTCAATTTGACTTAAGGCGCTTATTGAGTCTTGCGAGCGTGAGTTGACGTATAAAAATCGGATATTCCTCACTAATGATTTTGGAATATTGTTGAATCCACCTACCTTTTTCTGCATCAGACAGCGTCAAAATTAGGTCTGTGTGAAATTTTTGCCCTCTCTTTGTTATCATATGTTAACTGGTGCCATTTTTTCCTTTCTAGATTTTTGCAACTGCAAACGAGGTTGCCCGGCTTTCGACTACGAGGACAGGCTAAGGCTCTGTTCGGACTTTTATAATCTTTCAAGCAAGAATGAGCAAAAATCTTATCTAATGAGTCTTATGCTAGTGAAACCTATCTCTCGTCGTACAGTAGAAGATCCAGCGGCCAGTCGTAGGCAAGCTACTGTCGAGTATTTTCTGCCCGATAGGAACGGGTTCACGCTTAAGGTCTGTAAGAAAACCTTCATGAATACTTTCGCCGTTTCACATGGCCGCTTGCAAACGCTAATGAAAAGGAAGAAAAAAGTCGAGAAATTCGTAGCGCGGTAACGCACCGTACACTGTTAAGAAATGCATCTACTGTTGAACGTTATCTACTGATGGTGAACTTCCAGAAACATAATATTTACCAAGTATCACTCATAAGGTGCTAACCACAAATAACGTCACGCGATTTTTCCGATTTTTTACACCCACGCAACGCGTGGCCCTCTTTTACGCGTGAACCTCTTGCTACGCACCAGTCGCAGCGTGAACGTCGTGCTACGCATCACTGAACCAGACACTCTTGAAATAATTACGTAACATTTACGTAACACGCTCCCTCCCTTGCACAAATGAAAAGAAACTCAAGTTTTATGGTCTCCATAAATTGGCAAAAGTATTAAATTAAATTCAAGTGTGATTGAAAAAAAAATATTTGAAACACTACATTGAAAAATATATACATTAATAGAATAGATATTTGAAAAGAAATAACGGAATGCTGTGAAAAATGAAAAATCCAGTTTTTAAACTGTTACGTAACGCTGAGCTTCACACCTTCTCACCCCTTGTCGCGCTCCATCACAATATTGGACGTATTTCTGCCAAACGGAACTATGTGCATGAAGACATTGAGCCCTGAGACCCATTAGAATGTATGAATAACAGGGCTCACGTCATAGCGCACATAGTTCCGTTTGGCAGAAATACGTTCAATTATGAAGACCTCAAGTGTGTTATGTAGTTTATGGACAGCCCCTAAGCATAAACGGAGCTAGAAAAAGTTTGTGGGGGCTAGGGTCCATTGATCCTTCAAGAGGGGGGCATCGGGCGTATCGAGCGGCTACTTGCGATCATGCCCGTCAGCCTCATCCCCACCCCTTCACCCCCTTTCAGGACTTTTTCTAGCTAAGTCCATGGGCATGAGAGTTGTGCCAGAATGAGAGAAGAATAGAAGCAGATGTGAATCGTCAAAAAAAAAAAGAAGAACCGTAAGCGAAATTATCAGCTAGAAATTCCCCACATTCTTCTGGTTAACATGCAATTTGCACGGAGAAATTTGGCAAATGAAGTTACGTTCTTCCGTAAGGGAAACAACGAACTGTCCACTTTCTGTACTTGTGAACATTTAGCGACTGTCCTGTGGACATTCATTCTGCATGGCCATAATTTTCCAATGAAGAACAGTCCAGACAACTGTTGATGCAAAGGTGATTTCATTTTTTTTTTTTGGATTCGCTTATAAACCCTACAAATTGTAAACAAAACTTAAATTCCCTTCAAATTCTATCATTACCGCACAAGAAAAATACCGCACTGTATCACCTCGTCATCCCTTAAAGCAAGCAGCTGATACCACTCATGTCAACCAATCCAAAATGGACCTCACATCCGCGCATCCGTTCAACATTCGGTGCATACTTTTTTTTCATCTGTAATAATACTCAACATGGAACCATGACTTAGTCCACAAAGAGCGCTTTAATGTTTTTCATGACTGCTATCTCTGTAAAGTTCCTCTTATTACGTTCTTTGTGACCTTAATTTTTTCTTAGAATAGTTGTTTGTCGTTCATTCTTTCGTGTTGGAGTTGTAAAAATTTACCGCCAAGACTGCGACTTGTTTTTGAGCGATACAATTTAGAGAATCGTTCCTATACTCGTTACACCGTGTATTAACTGTATTACAATAATGTATTAAATTAAGCGTCCATCGTTCATCGTACTGTATAGATTGTTTTTTTTCTTTTCTTCTTTTTTTCTTTTTCTTTTTGACACTCACGAACTTACGTAATTACTCACCTTATTTTTCCTTCTCTGATTTAGGAATAACTGGAGAAATGTATACAGCAAACGGAGGTTCATAACCGACTATAATAATTTGTCTCTTTTTTTTTAACTTTAACTCCGTATTTTTGGTGGTAACAAAAAATTTTTGGAGATAATATACGGTTTTCAGTAGATTTTTTCCAATTTATACCAATCTTTTCAAATGATGGGTGAACTGCTTAACTTGTCGTCTATCGACACACTTAATAATAGAATGAAACTAATTCTGATCCACCACATTAAGGAGAAAAGCGAATATTCATTAGTTTTACCAAGTTTTTCTTTGTTTAATAGCCCGTCTGAACTAGTTAAGACTATAAAATAAATTGCGCTGTCACTAAAGTTTATTTTAAAAGTTTCGGATTGTGTGAGTTTTCATCATAATATAGTTTATAAATTTGTTATTTTTTGTTATTAATTTTTTTTAATCTATTCATGTATTATTTCTTTGCACGTTCTTTCCTCTCCTCCTGTCAATCTTTTGTCTTAAAAAAATCATTCAAGAAATCAGATTTTTGTTTTGTCTTTCTTTTTCCAAATTTCTCATGACTATTTGTGTGTGTACAAATAGATGAAAACTCCGCATAAAATTTACATGAAAAGACAACTGCTGCCGTGCTAAGAAAAAGTGTCGCTTGAAAACTCGAGAGTTGGTTTTCCCTTCATATTTGCGTTTCCGAGGAAAGTTATGAATATTTTTGTTAAAATGTAATATCGAATCGCAAATTAAATTCTCCAAAAAATTGGATGAAAGAACCCACGGGTTTCCCTAAAAATTGAACATTTGTACTCTATTAAACGAAATTCTGCAATGTTCGAAGGTTTATATGGCATTCTTCCTTAACACGGCAGAAGATATTTGTATGAAAGTGAGCAGAAACGAATCAAGACATAGTTTTGAATTGATCGAGGCGAGAGCGGCTTTGAGCTTCACGGATCAAATATTTTCTTTCGTTAACAATTCTATATTTCAGATAAAATGTTAATTTTGAGAGAATAGGTGCTTAGTGTTATTTTTTACATTGAATCATGTGCGAAAGATAAAATTTCAACCTCTTATTGTCAGTTTCAACCTGATTTGGCTTGGGTTCTCTCTTCCAATGCGAGGTAAATTTCATTCTTCGTGATTTGCGAAGAAAGAATATACTTAAAAAAAGTATAAAACGACCATCTTTAGACACCAGAAAGACATTGGGTGCAACTTGCTATGCCAATGTTTTGTTGATTAGATAACAAAGCTTATATTTTTGATGGATCAGGGCATAATGTGTCCTAGAATGAAAACTCAAACTGGTATAGCGGAAAACCGGTTTGGGGGTAATGTCAATTTTCAATGCTTGAAAGTTGCCACAATACTGTAGGATGATTGCAAATATTTGCGTCAAGAACTTTGTGTTAAAATTCTAAGCTTTGTATCATCAATGATGTTATCAAAGTTTAGACCATACTCTTTAGAAGGGTAGTAGTATCGCCGGCAAGCTTTACTTTTTCTGAGTTGAAGCTAAAGCTTTTCTTGAATTATCCATCGTTAGTCCTCAGACTTTGGATTCCCACCGAATGGATGGATTTTAAATATGTGATTGGAATCTCTATTTAAATTCGAGGTTATAATTTCTAATTTAATTTAATTCTAAAATATAAATTATGATTTAAAAAAATAACGGTTTCCCCTTTCACCCACCTAACCTACTTGTTTGTACTCATATTTAATTAATGCTCAATGTTACTCGTATTTTTCAGAGACATGTCTGTATCGCGCAGAAATTGCGAGGCCCATCCCCATATATATCGAGAATCAGATTTTGATAACAAATGGAGACAGGCTAAAAAAAGTGCTGGAAAGTTTAGATGAAGGACAAGCTCTGTTGAAGCTTTATGAGCGGGACGGCGCATTCGATAAAACCAACGCTCTGAAACTTTGTGACATAATCATGAGACACGAGTTTTGCGGCGATCCCAAGACATCCTTGTATAAAAAAGATTTTATCACACTAGCAAAGGCAATCAATGAGTGTTTCCCTAACGAACCTGAAGAATTATATTACACTCCCGCGCAACATTCTGTTGGGAAAAAAGGAAGAGCCAAGGGTCGTTTAACTGTCAAATATGATCGCAGAAGAAAGTTTCTCTCCGTCGCGCGTCGTTAAAAAACAAGTCGATCCACTTAAATTTCCACAAAGATTACTTGGAAGGTTGATTTAATTCAATTGGTTCATGGTATTCCTAAGCGTATGAGCCGTATACAGAACTTTTTGGATACACAACCGGTGAATCCAATAACTTGTACCACAGATGCGGTAAGAAATCTGGGAGTTCATTTCACTATTGATCCTAGTTCATATGTGTTCCGTTCAGTACGAATTACAATGACGTGCCCTTCAAATCACCCAAAGTTTAATGAACGTGACTATAGTCGATTTCACTCATGAGTTCACAGCTCATCCAAGTTCTTTCGGCATGGCCTTCTGGTCAGTAATCGTACACTCTACTTCTTTTTCAACCATCTTCATCTACGAGTAACAGTTAATGAATCGCAAGTCATTTGTCTAATGTGGCCTTTTATTCAATGCGTAAGGAAATAGTAGACATTTTTCAAATTATATACCAAATTTTTTTTGTTTCTGTCATGGGAAGACGTATGAAAATAAGGATTCTGTGTAAAATTTTCGATCTCTCATACTCCCCCCCCCCCNGGCCGGGTCTACGTTGAATCAACTTGTATTCCGTAATTTTCAGTATTTTATGAAGTGTATTTTTTGAGAGATCATTCGAGATTAACCTGTTCCTTTTTCAATGTTAACCTCGTTAATTATTCTAAGGTATAATTTCATGCGACAATTTTGTGTTCATTTCCGTAATAAAGTGATAATTTAGTCAAAAGTTTGCTTTTTATTTACCTTTTTTTTGCTTTTTTAAAGTTACGTAATCCGTTAGCGTAACTTGACAATTTAGTTATTTGTTTCCATTTTATTTTCGGCATCAGTTATTTCGCTTTGCCTCTTATCTACTGAAACTTGAAATACTTCGGCCACTCATTAATACAATCATTATCATATTTCACTAAAGCTGATAGGGTATGAAAGTTTATTTTTTATACACAGTGGGTCAAAGTATTCCTTCTTGGTTGTGTCTGAATATATTAACGGAGTCATTAAGTTCGTTCCTTGGCGATCTCTTTCTGGGTATTAATGATCCCACCTACACGTGTGACGTGTGAGAATGTGAGAAAAACAAGATGAAGAGAAAAAGGGAAACCACAATACAGAGAGAGAAGAAGATAAAGAGTAATTTGGAGAAAAAGAAGACGAGGTGTAAGAAGAATTTGTCTTTTTTCCTTATCTTCTCCCCCATATTCATCTGCTTTTTCATCTCCTAGTTTATCTTTTTCCTCCTCTTTTTCATTATTTTCTTCTTCCTATTCTCATTCCTCTCCATCCTATTTTCTTTCTTCGTCCTCTACATTATATTCTGCTCCCCCATCGTTCTCCGATTCGAAATGTGGTCCCATTTTAAATATGTTAGGAATGCTGAGCTACCATATTTGTGTTTTTTCGAGACTCCCCTCATAGTTATTACCCTATTGCTTGCTTCTATAGAGCTCTCACATGTGTCAGAGATTTGCAATTTAACTACCTTTTGTCCGGAAAATTTCGCAAGGAACACTATGGTGCATCTGGGGGTTGCCGTGGTTCCAGCTTTAACGTCCCTTAAAAAAATGACAATCCTGGCCATTTCTTTGTTCTCTGTAGCTGTGCATGCATAGATAGCAAATCAGGGTGTCTACAAGTCCGGAATTTCCGAAAATTCCGGAAATAGTACTGATTTTTCAAGGGCGGTCCGGAAGTACTGAAAAAGTGCGGAACTTTTGCAAGAAAGTCCGGAATTTTATCAATTTTGTCGCAATTTGAGCGGGAAATTCAAATTATTGAAATTTTCCGAAATACTTCAGTTAAAGGTATTCAAAAAGTACTGAATTTTTCTGTTGAGGAGGTACTGAATTTCTTGGGAATGTACTGAAAAAGTACTGTAAAAGTGCTGATTTTTGGCCAGCCTGTTTTAGTAGACACCCTGATAGCTTGACCAGATTTAGAGGTGGACTCTCGGTGTAGCGTGGGGGATCTCTCTCCCCCCTTCCCCTTTGCGGCTTCAACTTGGAAGCTTTTTTTGAGCTTAGAAGTCCGCTTCAGACGAAATACCAGTGACACCATCGTATTTCTAGCGAAGTTTTACAAGAGAAAGGGTACTCGAATCGCAAATCCTTCACACACGATTGCAAGAGCCTCATTCTGGCAATTCAGCCCCGCTGTCGGGTTGAACTTTCCTTGGAACAGCGCTTATAATCTTTGTGATTTTTACTCCCCAGCTAGAGACACCACCGTTTACTTGGATGCATCGCAGGTTGATCCGCAGGACATCTTCGACTCCTTCGACGAGCACGAATACAAGCCGTACCAGTCGCAATCGCAATCGGTGCCAACGAATGGTGACGGTCGATACATGTGCGACCTCTGTCACAAGTGCTACAAGTACAACAGAGACCTCGTCCGACACACTACATACGAGTGTCACAACGTGGTGGAGAAACCCAGCTTTAGCTGTAACCTTTGCCGCTACACCGCACCCCGCCCTGCCACGCTGAAACGTCATCTAATACTCAAACACAATCAGTTCAGATTACTTCAAAATGTTACTGTAGGTCCACCCAAGTAGGGAGAACGGGGAATGCTTTTAAGTTGTACTTGTCTCGTCCGCAGATTTTGGGGTCGAGCTGATTTTAAAGGATTTGAAAGTAAAGTATCTCTTGAATCAAAAGGTTCAATGTCGGACCGATTTCAATGGTTTTTGCGGCTACCGATGGGCGGTAGTTCTTGGATCATCCCGCTTTTTTTAGATGTAATCACAAGGGCGCGCGTAGCGGCCAGGAGACATACCCCCTAATATTTAAATAACGCCCATGAGAGACCTCAAGAATTAATTTTAAAAATGATATTCTAAAAATACGTCAGGAAACTTTGTTTGATCAGGATGACTAGTTGTTGAAAAGTCGTTGGAAACCTGGAAAAGTCTGGGGGAATGCAGCCCAACTCTGAAAATTCAGAGTTTTGCTGCGGAATCTTGAAATTCTTCCTTCCAGCCGAAACATGAAATTCTTTTTTACCGCACACATACCTCCTATCGGCGAAAATTGGACCCCCTGCCTTTCAGTTCTCAAATTTAGAATGTTTCGACTGTAAAAAAAAACTTCTCGCCCAATAATTTTACGAGAAGTTTTTTCTTTGGAAATAGTGCCCCCCGCCCCCCCCTCAAAAAAAGAGCATTTAAAATTCTTAAGAAATTCGGGGGATTTTCGGTTCAAAAACCCTGAAGTCAGCGAAATATCAGGAAATTTCGACATCTAAGAAAACATGGCACCCTGTTCAACGAAAACTCGAAGATAAACGAATTATAAGAAATCGACACATTTTCATTCAATCACTGCTCCCTCGGTGGCCATGCACATCCCTGTAGTCAAAGCTTGTAATCTATTTTTCAGTCATCGAAAATTATAATAAATTTTGCTAAAAAGGAAGAGACGTCTTTTTTTATTTTCTTATTTCTCTTCCGTAATTTCCTTTTTTTTCTTCTTTATTTTGTTGTAAACCCTGTAATTTAACTATAGAGGCATTAATGATCATTGTTGCCAAGACACCACTTTAAAAAAAAAAAAAAAGAATAATACTACATCTTCTACTGCTACTAATAGTCTTTCTCCTTATTTCCTCTGACAGTAAGAAAATACCGATTCATCCTACCAAAACAAGATGCGGCACAAGAGAATATCGACCCATACTCTCAGGCTCATCTGCTGACGTATCAGGACCACGATTCAAAGCAAGGTACGGCTGTGACTCAAATTGAACGTTTCTCTTGTGATATCTGCTCAAAATCTTACAAAACTAAGTCGAATCTTACTCGACATATGAAGATACATGATATAAGGCGAGTCAAACTAAGCTCACGATTGCAAATGGGGCTCTAGACAATTTACGAATAAAAAAAATTACGCAAGACGTTTGCTCTTTAAAATTTCCCGACGAAAACTAATCACGAAACGGAAAGTCTGAAAATCAACTTTTATACCAGATATGAGCGTTTACAGTTAACATTGGTTAAATGGCATAAACACAAATGGTTTCACTTGTATAATCTAACTTACCTACATTTGATCTGTGTTCAGAATATTTGTTAATATCTCGTTCAGGAGTTAATTTCCGAAATGCCCGTTGTGTGGTTCGTTTTTTGAGTAAGATTTTTAAGATACTTCATGTGAAGTTAATCTCTAGTTCAGACCCTGTCTAGTGGTCCATTGTATAGGGTTTTTTGCGTGAAAGATATGTCTCCTACTAACTTTCAAATACATTTTTTTTAAAAAATTACTTGCGAAACCTGCCTTTTTCTTTTATTTGTCAATCAAGTAAAATTGATAAACCTCTCAAAAAAAATTTTTAAAACTAAGCTGATGGAACTGTGCACGAAAAAAATGACCTTAGTCTACGAAAATATTTTGGTACAAATGGTTCCTATTCACATATAGATCCGTGGTCACATTCCGACTTTATAGCCATGGATATTCTAAATCTATGCATTTTATACCATTCAGTGGCGTGGCGTGTTTTGCGATATATCAATTGTTATGCCATTTAAACGTATGGAAAAGGATCGATAGTCAGGTTGTTCGCAGCGAACACCTTAATAATCGATTCTTTATTATAGGTTTAAATGGCAGAACAATCGATGTATCGCAAAGCACGCCACGCCACTGATACCACTGCAGTGGCGGATCCAGAGCGAGTCGGAACGGGAGACATTTGGACCGAGTTTAACAGAAAGGAACCAAGCCACATCAGCGATTGCCAAGTTTAACTGGGCAATTATATTTTTTACGAGAGAACGGTTGTTCGGATTCCTTTGAACATTTTAAGGAATTTGTTTCGCACCACGGAGAATTTTCACTGAAATTTGCACGAAAATCCACACAACCGTTTTCATGTAAAAAATTAAATTGCCCAATTAAATTTGGCAATAGCTGATGTGGCTTGGTTCCTTTCTGTTTAACGCGATCCATTTGCCTCTGTTGAGTGGGGGGTCCGTGAGCACCCCCTCTCCTCGGAGGGGAGGGGATTTTATAAAAATAGCCCCTTCCATAATGAATTTTAGGCACTTCAACCTTATAATTTGTGCTTTATTTGAAAGTTGAAAATTGACGAATAATACCTATTAAAGAGTAATGTTATTTTGAGGTATGGCATTTATTTCTGCGGTGTTGCCTGTTGAGTAATTCAGTATTTGAAAAAAAATGGACAAAACTTGAAGCCAGGATTACACAACTAACCAATGTAGCAATAAAAAAACCATTTCAGTAAATTTTTAGGAGCACTTTTTCTTCTCTCTCTCTCTCTCTCCCCCTCTCTCTCTGTTTTCTCTCCCTCTTTCCTCCTTTCCTCCACTGGAAAAAAAAACACATTGGATCTAGAGTCCAGACTCTTGAAAACATTGACAAGAAAAAATACTCTTGATTCAATCAGATTTTTGCTTGAATCAAAAGGAAATCCGCTCCCATTAAGAGGCTTGGTTCTTGATTTAAGCAAAAATCCGATTGAATCAAGAGTACTTTTTCTTGTCGATGATTTTAAGAGTCTTGACTCTAGGTCCAATGTGTTTTTTTCCCAGTGCCCTTTTTGCTTCTACTTATTTTTTTTTCGGTTCGATGGGGCATCCCACTCTGCCCTCTGGGGGAGCCCCCCCCCCTTCCATTTGGATTCGCCACCTGTGCGAAAATAATCCATTTCCCTCGTGATGTCAGCCTTTACTCACTCAAATCAATTTGTTTCTATTTAAAACTTATAGTAAAGTATGTCAGCAAACGCACTTCGAGGGTTGAACCAACGACGCGATTGGACGTAGTCGCGAGCACATCGGAGCCGGCGATCCAATGGGAGGATGCGGACTCGGTCTATCAGCCTGAGAAGATTCAGCGATGGAAACGGAATTCTGCAAGCACAACCCACGACGGCCGCTTCATGTGCGACCTCTGCGAGAAGACCTACAAATGGAAAGGCGATTTGAATAGGCACATGAAGTACGAGTGTCAGCACGTGATCGGGAAACCGAGCTTCGATTGTCCTCACTGCGATTACTCGACCGTTCGACCCTCGTACCTGAAGTATCACATGGGTATGATCCATGGAAAACTCCCTTCGAATTAATGAGTTGTTCCTACCACTAGAAGGACCTGGTTGTGTGGACCACTTATCAGGGCACAGACCTAATTATTTACAATGGAGTTGTTGCATGTGTGAGGAATTTGCAATTTGACTACTGATTCTGCTGTAAAAGTTCGCGAGAAACATGATGGTGCCACCGGTTTTCTCTGAAATCAACTTCCAAGCTCAAAAGAAGCTCTCAAGTTGAGGCCAAAATGGAGGGGATATCCCACGCTATCCTGAGAGTCCACGTTTACATCAAGACAAACTCTCCATACAAAGATAGGGAGCAAATACATTAATAGGGCTGCCGTGTTTTCAGTTTTAGAGTCCCCAAATAAAGTGGCAGCCCTGTCAATGTATTTGCTCCCTATCTTTGCATGGAGAGTTTGTCTTGATGTAGACGGGGACTCTCAGGATAGCGTGGGATATCCCCTCCATTTTGGCTTCAACTTGAGAACTTTTAATGAGCTTGGGAGTTGCTTTCAGAGAAAACCAGTGGCACCGTCGTGTTTCTCGCGAACTTTTACATGAGAATCAATCGTCAAATCGCAAATTCCTCACACATGCAACATCTCCATTATGTCTCCTCTGCACGGTTTCCTCGCGAAACCTAATTCAATCAAGGAAAATTAGACAAGTTGAACACATTTTTGAGTCTTGTTTATTTTATTAGAATAAAAGTATTGAATCTTTCCACGTCTTGAGTCCTTTTTGCTCTTTGATAAATTGATACATATTTTTTCCCCATTAATTTAAATGAGAATAATCAATGCAGAGTGTGCTAACATTTCAAAATCATGAGTTAAAAAACGCTGACTATGCGAGTATAAATATTAAATCCTAAGAGAGCGGAGCGGCGCGGCGTGCTGCCAGCGCGAGAGGCTTACTGGCGCCTACAAACCTAAGTGGATACTTCACGCATTGCACAATGCTTGAAGTATCCACTTAGGTTTGTAGGCGCCAATGCGCGTTTCGCGCTGGCCGCCCGCCCGCCGTGCGGCGGCGGCGCCTGAAGCAACTATTTCACAACAGAGGTGCTGCTCAGTATTATACAAAATTGAAAGTATTAAGAATGACAAGCATCCTTTAAAAGTACAGATCTTTCCTTGCAAAATGAATCAAGATACTTATCGTACACAGGAAAAACCTAAGAGCCTTTAGCTGAGGCAAATATAGAGGTTTATCCGGTTCAGGTATAACAAGGTGGGAATTTCTTGAAAAATAATTAAGTCCTATTACACCAAAGAGGTGTACAGAGTTTTAGTGAATTTTGTCTTATGGAATTGACGCTCCCCCATTTTACTCTACTGTATATTATTCTCCGTTGGACTAAACAGACAAAACAAAAAAACAAGCAAACCTTCATTCTTCCAAGACATTATATATTTTCATCCAAAAACGTCGTGAGCAATTGTCGTTTGTAGTTAGTTACATGTGGCCCAATTAACTTTGGATCTCAACTGGCACGCGGACCAAAACTCCCGTGCGGAAAAAACGCGTGGACGTAAATTACGGGAAAAAACAGGTGCGCGGACAAAAAATCGTTAACGAAATGTCCTATAACCGCTGAAAGTCATGGATTTAATTCAGACTCATCGCAAGAGATCAAATTATATTGACAGCTCAACTCTGAAATTCAGAGACGCACAGTTTCTTGAAATTTCATGAACTTAAATGAAAGTGTGAAATTTCTTGAAACTTCGTGATAGCATCTTTTAATTACTCTAGATTTGTTATGAAAGATGCAATAAACCATAGAACGCATTCAATTTGGAAATTCAGGAATACGAAATTTTATAAAATGGGATTCAGACGAAGGAGGTGAATTTTTGTTTTTTTGTTTTTTGTTTTAGCGTGTGTCGCACTAGGTGGTTTTAAAATTTCCAAGGAAACACCCAGATCCGTAGTAACATTTTGCCTTACGACAATGAAACGCAAGTTTTTTCTCTCCGGTGCATAACGTTTTTGCACACCATTTCTGACGATGAAGTTGCTGCACAATTTTTGTGAACAATAACCTCGCTCATATTTTTTTGGGGAAAAATCCTGCAAATTGCTCTACTCGGCATCGCTGTGACACATGGAAGATTTTAGTTTGATGTAATTCGCGCACGTCTGTCCAAATGAATTAAATTGACTTTAAGCGAAAGAAAAATTGAAAATGACCAATGAAATCAGACAACCGTTGTGAACATCAGCCTCCATTTTATTTATAACTGCATTAAGTTTTTTTACGTTTTACTTTCTATTTCATTAAATTCTCGAATCGACCTTTTATTGTGTGACAGCGGCTTTCTGAACAAACAAAACGATTGGTAAATATTGAAAGCGCTCCAACTTTTTCAAGTCAACGCCTGGATGCAACTATTCGCGCTTAAAGGATGTCTGTGTTGCTTGCACAAAATTGAAGGCGTTCTGGCCTTCTTCTCTGTTGTGTTGCTTATGTCACGTTGACCGTAACCACATACCACAACCTTTGAATTCGAACGAAGTGATCAGGGTATCAGCATCACCACAGCGTTGCCCAGTAGTGCAATTCTCAGGATAATTGTTATTTGTAATTATTTTACGGAAACAGGCGGAAATGCCAACAGCCGCCGCTTAGAGCGCCCTACCAAAATTGAGGCAATAATTGAATGTTACCGAAACAGGGTCTCAGCACCGAGGTGAAAACTGTCAAAAAGCGTCTGCTGGAGAGAAACAAACAGGAAGCATCGGTCAACATCCCACCAGGGAATGCATAACTTTAACTCACTTTTTCATCATAGTTCTCAAGAGTGGCGCCAAACAGCAATATTTGTGTAATGAACATAAGTTAGAGGTTGCTACCATCAAGTTAATTAGATGTAGTGTAGCGCTCATTTTAATCAATTGAAGCACATTCTACGGTATGTATTCAATTTTACTCTCTGCTCTCTTATCTGAATATTTAATTCAGAAATTATCCATAACCTTAAGTTTGATTTGTTTAAAATCAGAATATTTCTGTGTTGCGTAATGAATCCTAATTTATTATTATACCAAACCATGAATAGTAGCAATAAACTTGTACATTTGACTGGACACATAATCCGCGTCCAAAGTTATTTTCGTTATTTTCGAGCATTATTTTTGAAATAAACTAGAAAAATTGTTTTTAAATCTCTTTGTGTTGCATTATTACCCCTAACTACCTCGACTTACTGAAAGTTACAACTTTTGAAGCGGGTTTAGGAGACCCGAGTTTTGGCCAGGTTGGAGCACCTTTATAGGGAGGGTATAGACAGATGTGGGACCCGGAAAATCCATGAGCCCTGAGGCCCATGAGAATATATGCATAACCAGGATCACGTAATATTGCACATAGTTCCGTTCGGCAGAAATACGTCCATTTAATGATCTTAAGAAAGAAATATTATAATCTGTTATCGGGGAACTTCAAACGTGAACAATGACGGCCGTACTTTAAGTTGCCGACCTGAATGTAAAAGCTGGCAGCGGACGAGTCATATAATTTCGCGTTTGTGAGTTGGCTGCCCTTTGGGGCCCTCAGAGTCTTATACATAATTATTCCTTAAATAGGTCCTTTCCATAGGAAAATTCCACATCTGAACTTTGGAATTGGCTCGTTGCGAGGGGTTACAATCATTCGCCTTTGCAAAAAATACAAACTCGGGGAGAAAAAATTATACGATTTTGACCAATTTAAAGGCATTAGAGGGTACGCCCCCTGACTGCTTCGCGGTCCAACCCCCTGAAGCGATCTGTGCCTCAAGCGACTTGCGTTACGCGTTACCCGTATGATTTTATACTATACAGATTAAGATTTGTGAACCTACCTTAATATTTACAAAAATCGCATTACATTTTACCTCGTATTCTGTACTTTTTCAGCGAAAAATCATTGCAATCCCTGCAGCCTGGTTGTTGAAATTTTGTGTTAATAGGCAGAGCTTGATTGGTCGGCTATGTCTTATCGCTGCTTTGTCGTGCCTATGTCGGGTGGAACTCTTGACAAGCTGAAGGCATATCTTAAGTTTCCGACAGTATGTCGTCCATTCCACATGGCAAAGGCACGATAAAGCAGCGATAAGACGTAATTGACCAATCACGCTCCGCTTTTTATCCTATCTCATCTATGTTTACCCGATAAACACGAAATTTCAACAATCAGGCTGCTGGCAAGGATTCATTTCCGAAGTTATGATTCCAAAGATTCGTTTCCAAAGAATTTCAGTCAAGGTTTGCAAATATTGTCCTTTTCATGATGTTATTTTGAGGGCTTCCGTAAACCTCCCTTTATCATGATATAATCCAAATGGGGTCTCCAGAGGAAGAGAGATATTTAAGGAGCGACCATGAATTCGATCCACAGGGCTAGGATTTAACGTATCAAGACAAGATTTAAAGTGCCAAATTTCCCCTTGCAAATTTCAATTTTACCTTGGGCATATCTAACTGAAAATTTCACAGATGTTTCATCTAATCTCATGCAAAAATCAGAAACATTTTGAACAAAAATTCCACAGGTATGTTTTTGTAAAAAATCGTATTTTTGGGTCAACTTTTCAACATTGGGATGGAGTGACGTTCCTTCGTCCGGGAAACGTTGAAATGAATCGCTCATAAGTTCGACAGGTTTTGCGATAAAATTTCAATGTAATACGTAGGTTTAAATTGGGAAAAGTGTTGATTTTTAGCACTATCTGGCAACAGTGATTGCTTCTTATAAGGCCGATAACCGCAAGTTCCATTTGTTCTCAGAGGAGGAATATCAACTGGTGCAACGGCTCGATGCAAGCCTTCAAGAGCTGCCAACGATCCTTTCGGAGGACTTGGACCTGATGTCCTTCTGCGCACCTTCGATGTCGCTGTCACGGCCCAAGTCGAGGTCACGGGGTGGGGGTGGCGCCAGCGCTAGCTCCGACTCGGCTTCAACCGGAGAAGACAGGCCCTTTACCTGCGAGCTCTGTTCCAAATCGTACAAGAGGAAAGTCCACCTCCAACGTCACGAGAGGTTCGAATGCAGGAACGTCCTCGAGAAACCCAACTTCGGGTGCAGTTACTGTTCTTACAGCACCAGCAGGGTGGACAACCTCAAGTCTCACGTCATTCTTCAGCATCATTTCAAAAAAGATCAGAGCTGAGGAAAAATGCTATCAGACTGTACTGGGTACCACACACTTGTTGTGTTCTACAATTTTTTGTTTGTGGAGTATTTTGTAGACGTTTTTTTTAAATGTTTCATCTATATTATCGAATTTTAAACAACCATCTCCATGTTACATTTTGGGATTGTTCAGTATAAAAAGCTGTGAGATACTGAGGGAGTTTTATCATCAGTATTCGGAAATTCCTTTTCAAGATCCTTATACTATTTTTCAAACAAAATACTCCGTAACTACTCTTGCAAAGTTCCAACAATTCTTATTTAGTGAATTCATCATGACGATGCAATGAGTGTATCTTGAAAAAAGTTGTATTAGGATAAACATGTCGATGATTGAGATCGAGAAACGCGATCCTATTGCGACATCGCAAACCTCACGTTTTATTTCCCTAAAATACAACTAACCCTAAGCTAATAAATCGTATAAGAGTGAATAAGGGTTCAGATCCTATTATTTTCAGTGAAGAATTCATCCACTAAGCGAGCTTATTCGTGATTTTTTCAGCTTTAATGGTGTTAACTTTACTGTCATTTTTTGTATGAAAAGTGCAATAAACTGTTAAGACAAAATTTGAACTTTGTTTTCTTAATCAAAATCTTTATTCAATTTTTCCCTTTTCATCCAATACATGGGGATGAATGTACAATAACTTTAAGGAAGAACAACATTTAGTCATAATATCTTTCTGTAGCCATCAATTTACCTCAATGTGTATCTGGTTTTATTTCTGTACCCCCATAACTGTTGAGTCATTAGTTCTTATTCGCACCCCTCCTTTGTTTTGGACTGACAAATTTAAGACATGATCACATGCTCAGGCACGGTGTATCTAAAATGCTGCTGTCTTATTTTTTCAGTGTATGAGACAAAGTTCACCATCCAAGACGAGGAGACGCTCTCTTCAATTTTCAACCCGAATGCTGATCCTCTTTCAGAACGAAATGTAGACTCGGAAAATATTAATCGACGATCACAATCAGGGCCTAAGTTGCCCTCTTTTCCCGCACCCCACCTTAGAATAAAGCGCTATTGTGAAGTTTGTTCAAAGGTTTTCTCAACAGCAAAAGATCTACAGCGTCACCAGGACAACGAGTGCAAATGGACTCCGCCTACAAAGCCGCGGCAACCTGCAAGTAGACCTTGGTCTTGCGATCTGTGCTCGAAGACATATAAAATGAGACATCATCTGGTCCGTCACCAGAAATTCGAGTGCAAATTTGTACTCGACAAACCCACCTTCAATTGCACCGAATGCTCTCATACCGCCACCAGACCTGAAACTCTGAAATTCCACCTAGCTTTTGTTCACAAAAAAATTGAATAAATTATTATTGGAAGATGTATGTCGAGTCTTCGTAACTAGATCATCTGGACGGAGTTAAACGGAAAGGAACCAGGCCACAACGGGATCGAACCGAGAAAAGAGGTTTAAAGTTTGGCTCCTGCATGAGACTCGATGAAGAAGATAAACTTCAAGTTCAATTTCTGCAAAATTTGCTCCAACAAAAACTTTGAATTTTTGGCGATAGATAGTAGAGCAGTGGTTGGCTCCTGCATATGACTCAAAGTAAAAGATAAACTTCAAGTTCAATTTCTGCAAAATTTGCTCCAACAAAAACTCTGAATTTTTGGCGATAGATAGTAGAGCAGTGGTTAAGTTCAAAACCACTCATAACTCAATTTTTTCTGAAATGTGGGTTGGTTCCTTCCCGCTTAACTCAGTCCATTTGATCCACGAAAGATAGGTACTTTTTCCTGTGCCGACGAAAAAAGGCCTTTGGCACCTCAAAAGTAACATATTTTTTTGCCTACCGTAAGGAGAGAGCACGTTTTTTCCTCACAAGATGGCTCTATATATTTGTTGCCAATCTGATGAGGATATCAGTCAGAAATGACAAGAACGGCTAACATGGCTAATATAATCGTGACAAAAGTGACTTTTGTTCCTCATGTGTGCTGTATGCGTACACCACGGAGCGCTGTGTTCAGTAATGGTGTGTTTCCTTTTTTCCAGAAACCGGTTTCGCATCGTGGCAACCGCGAAATGCGAATTCGATGGAGCCGAGACCGTACGTTTGTGATTTGTGTTTTAAGTCCTACAAAAGGCCGGGGCATCTATGGCAGCACAGGAAATACGAATGTCGGCTCGTGGCCGAAAAACCGCAATTCCCCTGCCAATTTTGTCCTTATGTTGCCAAAAGGAACGAAAACCTTAAACAGCATCAGGTCCTCCGTCATACAATCTTACCTTTCAACCATTAACCTCCGTTTTAGCCATCAACTTGGATTGTGTCCCCACTTAATTAAGATCTCTTTAGCTTCCGCCCAGTAATACAGGTTTTTTCGTGCACTGAGAAAAAACTATGGTTATAACTACTATATTAGTGGTATTCAATATGCACTTTTAATTAGTAGTGGCCATAATCAATAATAGTGATATTTTTACTGGAGCAATCGTTATTTTACAAGTGTGCGGTAGTGAATTTACCGTTTAATGGTAAAAATATCTCTATCATTGGTTATGGCAACTACTAATTAAGAGTTCATATTGAACACCACTAATATGGTAATTATAACCGTAACTTTTTCTCAGTGTGGATAAACTAATGGGTTCCTTTATTTTAGTTTGTTGGCACATTGCGGAAATGACGTTTTTTCGTCACAGTTGTTTTGCTACGCCATATACCAGTATATTTAATTTGACGGTGATTAAATTTAAGTTAAACCGTTCAGTCGTGATAGTAATTACTCGTTTCTTTCATTCCACGCTCTCGAGGTGTATATTTTGTAAGCGGTAGCGATGACTAATTTCTTGGAATTCTATTTAAGGTTTTTTTTAGATTATCATTTTCCATTCTAAAACGGAAATGAACTGACGCTTTGCCGAATTTTTCAATTTCTTTATTCTTCTATTGATCTGAAAGGATTTCTCACTTCACTGAATGTTGTTCTTAATGTCCACACTAAAAGCATCTTTGAATTAAAAAGGCAGATATTTAAAATGGTTTAGGTACAACACAAAAAGGATACCTATTGTTCAAAAGTGCTAAGGTTTCACTCAGCTAATATAGCAATGGAGAACCTCACACAGTGTCACATACTTTTAGATGTTATTTAAACTTTGCCTTTTTGTTTTGGATGCTCCTAAATTCTGAAAATTTCAAAATCAATCTTATTGTTGCAATTATTTATCCACACTTCCACACGTTCATTGTTCAAGAAAATCTCGGTTTGGATCTCAAATAATATTTGAAAGGATCATTGTTAATTAAGTTATACTTGAAGAGCTTATTGCGGTTCCTTATTCATAGCTCATAATTGGTCAAAAAGAATGAGTCCAATGATAAATATTCTTTTGGTCAGGGATTCTACACTTTAGTACATTCGTTTCTTCCCCATCAATTGGGCGTATTTTACGCCTCTGAAAAGTAGATTAGGTAAATGTTTCTTTTTTATGGCATACCATTGGCTTATTTTGTAATATTAACGTTTTTTTGGAGGGAAAACTGGCGCAGATTTAGTTGTCAGTCTTGCAAAACTTCTCCGTCAAGAGTTTGTTAATTCGTATTTTGCACCCGCAACAGTCACATTTGGACGTATTTCTGCCAAACGGAACTACGTGCATTATGACGTGAGCCCTGTTATGCATATATTCTTATGGGTCTTAGGGCTCTTGTCTTAATGCACATAGTTCCGTTTGACAGAAATACGTCCATTTTATTTAACAGTATGTAATAAGATATTTCCGTTCAATTCATTCAATAAGATTAAATTTACAGCAGATCATTTCCCATGGATCCGATCTCATTGCCCAGGATTCATGGTCTCTTAACACTTTTCGTTTTTTGTGAACTATCACGCATTGATCTCATGTTTGAAAATAATTATATTCTTAGGTTTAAGTCTGTTTTAAAAATTGTTCGTTCATAAATAAAGTAAGCTCGAAAACATTTCATCAGTTTTCATGTCATCTTATCCACCAAATAAAAATCAGATCTTTGTCAATAAATAAAAAACCTTTACACCTAGCACGTTCTAGATTTGAAGAAGAAATCACTTGGAGTCAATAATAGAACCGTAAATATGGTCTTCCATGCCGATTTTGTATGGGACTGAACAAATAGATTTTGTGATATGGCTTTCGACAGAAAAAGGGACGCCGGGCGGACGGACACTTAGTTTTTCAAGTATGATATTTTTCCCCCAGGCACCCCATAAAACGCCTAGGCTCTTCTCATAGAGGGGGAGGGGTTCGAAGGTAAACTTTTAACTGCCTGTAACTTTTAAATGGATTATCAGATTCAGTTTAACCTTGTTTTTATCAAAGATCGTAAAAAGATGGATTTATATGTACCATAAAAAGGCAATAACTAATTCAATTCTGTGCCAATTAGCAATTTTTCGAATTTTAAGGGTGGACTTCAGGTTTAAGTTCAGGGAGATCCTTAAAATAGCATCATAAAAAGGACAAATTTTGCAAACCTCGAGAAAAATTCAGCGGTCAATTTTTGGAAATGGTTCATTGAAAGGGGTTACAATGATTTACCACCACGAAAAATACAGGATACGAAGGAAAATACATTACGAATTTTGTAAATTCGAAGGTAGGTTCGCACCAACTACACCTTAAAGTTTGTAAAAGTCGTAGAATTTTGTCATTCTTATTTTGTACTTTTCGCAGTGGCAAATTCTTATAATCCCTTGCAAGGATTCATTTCCAAAGTTATACTGTTTAATTTCACTTGTTAATTGCAAATATTGTCCTTTTATAACGCTAGCTAGGTAGCTGAACCTACGTTCTAGCCACAATGTAAACCATGTTGATGATGAAACTCCCAAACCACGTATCTAGTTTACGGTGTTAGAATCTCCGCCCTAATTTTTTTTCTGAGAAAGAGAACAAATCAACGTCATTTGAAGTTTTCAAAGAATTTTTTTTTGCACAGAGAAGGAAAATCGCAGAAGTTTAAAAGAAT